TCGTGGGGCCACGGGGGGTTGCCCTGAGCCATGGGCGAGGTCGCGCGTCCCACACGAAGTTGACCCGATGTGAACGAGTGCGCGGATTTCCTCATGTGAACATGGCACTTTTCCCCAGTTGGCAATAATTCCACTGTTCAAACAACAACTTCATCGCGGCTCGCAATCAATTCAATCAGATTTCCTGTTGGAAGGATAGGTCCTTTGGGCAACTGATTGTTCAAACCCGAAGAAGGGTTCCCCCAAAGGGCAGACTAACTTTGAGTCTTCAAACATGCCTCCAAACTTGATGTTTTTCCACATACAGCTCCCAGACAGCTGTAAATTACAACACGTCATTGAAAGGGATCCGGGAGCTCTGGTCCAAAAGATCCGAGCGGATCACGACGGTCCTTGTTTGACTGGTCATGTCTGAGTTGGCAGCTATGGCAGCCGATGATGTGGTTGTAGGCAAGCTTTTTACCTTCGGCCAGTTCAGCCAGTGCGTGATTGTGCTGTTCCAGCATCGATGCTCGATAGACTTACAGTAGATGGCGGAGAAAGCAGATGGCACAAGTTCTGGCACATGTGAGTTGATTCAACCAAGATGGGACTTGGAATTCTATGCTCACCCAACTGCAAGTTGGAAATTGGAATAAACCAAACGGCCAAGCCAACAACTTAAACCACCCACGCCATCTCACATGCACCCAACCTACTCAAGTATACCAAGACCCAACCACATCAGGGACACGACTCAAGGGCTAAACCAACACATGGCGCCTTCACCCAAACACGAAGCCCTCAATGCCCTCAATGCCCGCCGCTCGCCAAAGCCCGCCTGCCGGAAGCCCGGGCAGCCCTGCTGCCGCGCCGACTGGGCCTGGCCGTTGTAGGAGAAGGTGCTGGAGTCCACGGGGTTCTCCATCCTCAGACCACCCGTGAGAGCCATGGGTTTATTTCTTGTGGGGGCAGTCGGTTGGCATATAGGCTGTGGCGAAAAAACTGGCAAAGTCCAAATCCAAGTACCAGACTGAAACGATTGAAACACCTGTTGCTTTTGCTCATCATGTGTTTGTTCGAGGGAAATTTGCAAGATTCAGTCACCAACAAAGGGTTCCCGTTGCCAAGCAGTACTCTGTGCAAGGTCATGTTTCAGGAAATCAGTGCAAAACCAAGAAGCCATGGTGGGAGGCCCCTTGTAACGATTCAGGCCCGGTGCTCTTACAATTGTCTGAGCGAATGCCCAGAATCTACGAATTGGACACAAGGAATCCCCGACTCAAAGACCTTCATCATCTGCTCACCTTCCCCAAGAAACTCATTGAAACTGCCCAGATCTGTTTCTTTCTTCTTTGGGGGGAGGATTCAACCAGCGGAATGACACGTGTTTTATTGTTGTTTATGTGTTTGTCCGTGTTTGTTGTGTTCGCTTCTTGAAGGGTTGGAAGCGGGAGGGACACCTTTTTCTTGCATTGCTTTTATTTCGGGAAGGCGGTTTAACAGGGGGTTGGTTTTTTGTGACATTTTTGTTTGCAAATGCGCGGGATTCAATAGTGGCGGATTCCAGCTTTTCGTTGCCGAACGCGTTTTGATTTTGGGGTGTGACCAAGTAGGTTGAAAGGTTGAAAACGTCCAAGGAAATCTGGGTCTTAAGTTTTGGAGCAACCCCGGATTCTGCCCTGACAAGCATCCAATCCATAGGATTGCTTTTGGATAAAACTAGATGGTACTGGTAAATGGTTAGAGCCTAACCAAAACCAGAGGAACCCATCTGTTCTCAACCAAACTGACCTACAAGGAAGCCCATGCTTCTGAAGCTGACAAGCATCCACTGCATATTGTAGCTATACACTCGGATCTGGTCCCCCTGTTGCGTCTTCTCCACGCGAGAAGACTCCACACACTGCATCATCTCCGCTTTCTGACAGGGTTGTCTAAAAACAGCAGAGCCCATTTGGGTGTTTTTCTGGTAGACTGTTTGGGGTTGTTTTAAAGGGACACCAAGAGGATACCACCCATTTTGGGGATGTGGAGACAAACCCAAACATAACTATTGATTTCTAGGTATACGGTTTCTCTCCAATTTTGGCAAGCCCATGTCTGGTTTCCCTTAGCTTCCTTTCAAAACATGCCCCAAACTGGCAGCCGTCCTCCTGAAAGAAAAGAAGCAAAGAAAAGGAGAACTGGAGAAAACTGTGATGCTACTTGCAAGGTTACAAAGGCCTGCTTTTGTGTTTGTTCTTGCGAATCAAGCAATGCGCATAACGTTCGAGTCAAGTAAAAACCCTTGCCAACTTATCGCCCGCTTCTGCCCCAGACCTTAAAGGTCAGAAGGAACCTCATGCTAGGTGTCCCTTCGGAAAAATGGGCGGCACCTGTACATGAACATGAACAACTTAAACCACAACCCATCTGTGCTTGTCAAATCAGCTTATGTTGGTCCTGGATCCCCTAGAAGGAGCCCTTATAATGGTTGTGTACAGAGCCCAAGGGTTCAGAGTTTTGACCATGGCACATCTATGTTCATTCCCAAGCTCACCTAAGACCTGGATGGCTCAGCTTGAGGAAATCGAACACATGTCCCCCAAAGCCAACGGGCACCCGTTTTTCTTCAGGGTTTTCATTTTTCTCAATTTTCAGGTGTAGCAAAAGTCGGTTGGACCTCCAAACTGGGGGGTCGCCTTCGTCCAACTTGTCAGGTGGCTCCCTCGCTCCCTCGCTCCGCGCCTGGGTGCCCGAGGCGGAGCGGAAGCTGATGGCATCCCCCAGGCCGGCGGAGCCGAAGCTGGCGGGCGTGAAGGTCTGCAGGCTGTCCTGGCCCAACGCGCCCCCAAAAGGCGAGGACGTCGCGGAGGGGGAGGGGGATGAATATATGTAACACGTATCTATATATATATATATGTATATATATAGATACATATATATATATATATATATATGTAAACGTGTAAAGGTATTATGTGCATTACATGTATACCCATTGTAGTGTGGTATGGGTTGGCTCAACCACGTTTGGACCACAATTGTTTACACATACTCCTTGTGCTTCCCCTTCAAAGGTGGCCAGGGTATGCTTGTTTAAACAATTCTTGTAACCAACCCTACTGTCCTGGTGGATGGGGCAGGACATGTAGACGACCATGCCTTCGCTGACCCGCGCCAAAAGGCGGAGGAAGAACGGGGGTTTGCTATCCGGAATCGCAGTCCAACAAGTCCGCGAACAACATCCACCACAAAAAACGAGAAAACTGCGAAATGTCAAATCAATTAATCGCGATTCCTCTGGATGAGAAAGAGGCAAGGCCTATGATTCGACCATCAATGTGCCACCCGAAGTGCTAGGATTAAAGGAAAAACGGCTTTGACTTACGTAACAGACCAACAAAAGCATGTACCCAGACAAGTGTGATGAGAGGAACAAGGCACGAAGCGCTGTTCAAAAGACGTCCCACAACAAGAATCTAAGAATCAAAAGACCTTGCGTTGGTGCAAAGGTTTGATGGGGGGGGTTCTTATTGCTAACACAGAATGGCATGTTTGCTTGCTCAAGTTCATGAAGTGATACTGGCAACTGCCACCGCGTAAGTGATGGTCAATTGCTGCCAATTCAATCCCTGGGATTTGTGTACCAGAACTCTCGGAGATCAATCACATCGGCAAAACCCGCCGCATGTCAAGAGCCAAGATGCCCGAGTACCAATTGTTTCTCGGCTCACAGCCAATCACCTCTGCCATCTTTTGCGCATAGAGAATGTTCTTGTGCTCGCACCTTGCAGTTTGGACCGCAAACTAATTTGCTGGGCAGCCCAACCGGGAAAAACGTCGGGGCCCCTCTGCATACATTATCATCCTATTGTACCGGCAAAGCGAGAATGTATTGGGAAGGGTCTCGGGTACTCACCCCCGTCCATTCATATACAAGGGGAGATGTTGAACATGACTGCTATTCCCGCCGGCCCAAAACAACATATGTTCATTCTGACCAACACTGATTGAACCTGAAAATGCCGAATCATGTCAACGAGATCCCAGCAAAACCAAAAAGGCAAACGTGCCCAAGGCTTGAGTCATGGCGCATGTAGTTCACCTCGTTGTAGCCCAGCAGCAGCAAGGACAAGGGGAAGAGGACCATCCCTGGCTAAACGCACGCGTCCGACATCCCCGGGTGAGTGACTCCAGAAAGGAGCCCTTCCTTCTTTTTGTGGGGAAGCCCCGAAGCAAAAACTGAAAAAGGTGCTGTTCACTGGGACAGTGACTAGTTTGGTCTTTGTGATGTCAGACAGAACGTGGATTAGTTGCAAATCAAAGAAATGATTGCTCTTCAACAAGTCTGTGGGTGCATGCTCAGTCAGTCACCACTTAAAGGGAGCTTCTACCCAAGAAGGTTTGACGCTGCATACTCGCAAAAGCAAGATCATGGACAAGAAGTTAATTCGGGGAAAGTCAACAAACTCGTATGTCCGGATAACAAATCGTCGCAAAACAAAATGCCTTCGACGGTGTCATGACGAAGGGTTGTCACCATGGCAACTTGTCACAACTAAGAAATCCCAGAGTGCCAAATTCGGGCAAGATACCCAGGCACATGCTGGCGAAGGCGTTGGAGATCTTCCCCGCGGGCCGTTGCCCATCAACATACTCCACGTCCCCGGGGTTGGGCCCGCCCCAGCCCCCGAAGCCCATGGGTCCCATAGGTCCCGGGGGCCCCGGGGGTCCCATCGGACCGGGGCCGCCCCATTCCGGACCGCCGGGGCCGGGACCACCCCAGCCCGGACCGCCGGGACCGCCGGGACCACCGGGACCGCCTGGGCCTTCCCAACCGTACATGGCGAGGCGCGAAGGCGGGCTCAGCACCGAGCCCGGGCTGCGGACACCCAACACCCAAAAGACTGCTTCTCCTGTGGGTTCTATCGAGTAGATCTATCGAGAGCAACCGAACACTAAGCAGAAAGCAACCGAACGCAAGGCTGCCACCACTGGAAGCCGGAGGGAAGAAGCTGCGCTTGCAAACAGGCAGCAAAGGCATTGATCGCTGGACTGCGACTTCAGCATGTCTCGAATGGCACCTGGCAAAGCCGAGTACCGGTCTTCTACCACAGGACTCCCCGATCGCCGTCTCTCGGCCCCCTTAAAAGCAAAACAATCAGTTTTGAGATGCGGCCCAGTCAGTGGGCATTGATTGACTCAGTCCTTCCAAAGCATCGTGCAGAGCCATCGTCCAAGCCAGGCTTGACGGAGAGTGATAACCAAAGTCCAATGAACGCCGTTGTTTCCTGCAATTCCAAAACCCGTGCCCGCCTTCGGCAAGCTCCGCTGCACGGCCCGGATCCGCCTCGGGTTTTGGGGAGGGGCTTGCCCTTTTTGGCGGGGTTTGGCAGGGAAACCACACGGGTCCTCGCGCGGGTCCTCGCGCGGGTCCTCGCGATGGTTTTTTTTGGGCGAGTTAAACATCACCTTATTATGTTATTGGGTAATTTTGACATGAGCTCATTTTTTGGGGGGTTCCATATCCTATTTTGAGAAGGCCGTCCAAGATTCTTCCCGACATACCTTTTCAGCATACCTGGTGGAAATGCTCACAAGTAATGCTGGAGTGCTGGAAACCAGGCCCCATTTGAGCAGTTCCCCTGCGATGCGGCAGTCATCTTTTTTCAGCCCAAGGAGGTTGACATATGGAAAGCACCACATTGACGCTATGAGGGGTCGATTCGACGATTCTCCGAACACAGCCCGTGCAGGAAGGCGAGACACAGACCCACCGGACGGTAAGAAGTTCCAGGTGCGGCTGCTTTTTTTTCCGGCTGAGTGGTCATACCTTACAGAGTTTGGCTGAGCACTTGAACTATGCTAGGTAAATAGGCTATGTGCAACACATGGGTCAAATGGGGTGATAGTTAGCTTTGAAATGGCGGTGTAAATGACATCCACCTCCAGAAAGAGCTTGGACAACCTTTGTTTGTAGATAATGACTGTCACACATGACCTACACCATGGAAGCTGACAATCCAAGGGTTTTGGAAGACTAGCTTTCCAATAAAGCACTTCCATTGTTGTTGCCAAAGGGTTTTTTTGTACTTGTGACTGTCCCCCTGCTCATCTTCATGTGCACATTCGTTTTTGATTCTCTAGGGCCCTTGCGTCCAGCTTCTCTATGAAGTTCTTCAGGATCTCAACGTGCGCCATGGCTCTCGGCTTTGGCACAAGTGTGGGCGATGCGAAATCAGCATGCTGCAAACCAGCTTCCACCTTCAAATCAGGGAAGTCATGGTAGGTAAATGTAAAACAACATCCATCCGCCCGAGGTCTACTAGGGCCATTCAAAAGGATAGAACGTTGGTCCCTGCACCACCGGGAATGGGAAAACAAAAGCACCCAACACACATGTTCTACCTTGGCAGTCATTTTTGGCGGGTCGGTATCCCTGTCTAGATAGAACTATCAGGATTCCATGTCTAGCAGCACAGCGAAAAAAGTCCATCTGTGCTTGAGCCAGGTGTGCTTCATATGCGCAATGCTAAAAGTCATGGACATAGACAAAAATAGGGTTTGTCCTAGACATGCGTTTGTGAAGATTTAGCGACCCCTCCATGTCCATCCCAACGTGATAGACTGCTGCTCATCGGGTTCCCCATATTTCCCTCTTGAACATGAAGGAACCCAACTTTAATTCTCCCCCGAAAGGTGGTGTTCAAACCATCCCCCAAGGGAGTCCTGGCTCGTATGCCGCATGCGAGACCCAAATTGAGGCCAAGCGCACCAGCGACCCGCCTCATCCAACAGAAGGATCGAGGGGTTCGCCATGATTGCCTCCCGGAGAGGAATTGAGTGGCAAAAAGAATTGGGCTGAGTCCTCAAAAGGACACCAACGGTTCCCTAATTTCGAGACATAGGCAGCCCATGAGTGGCGTAAAAAACATGTGGTTCTCTGTTCGTCCTGCAAACATCCCCGTACCGGTGACCTTCAGTTTTAGGACACTCCCTTCTAACATGGAACCCAAACGGGTGCTAAATGGGGTTCTAACCGAATTTCCTTCCGTTGTCTTGGGGAACCTTATTTGTTCTTTGGCGTGTAAACACCGAGTCCTTGGTTCCTTCCCATAGCCGCCCTGAGGCTCTGAGGCCCCGTCTCGCGCGATGGCCACGCGCTGCTTTTGGCCTGGCTTCTCAGGGAGGAGAATCATCGGGCTCCAAATCGGAGGGAAACGCAAGTGGGGGTTGTACCAAAATGTGTGTTTCCTTTGGGTCCGAAGCAACACCACCACCTACCTCCAAATAAGGGGGGGTCCCCATCAAGTGACCTTCAGCTTCGTTAAGCTTCCCGCATAAAGCAAGCCTCAAACGGCTTGCATCCAAAAACGACACGAGCAAGAAGGAGTGTAAACTACGACTAGGGAATGTTTTGGATGCCAAAGAGCTGATCCACCCTAGAGGATTGCCAAAGTGTAAAGAAGACAGGTGATTCGGCGTCCAACGTGGTTTCTAGATGACCACAGGTTGACTGACTGGCCAAGCTTCTCAGCCACTTACCTCGGTTGATGACGAGGGTGGCCTTTATCAAGGGTACCCTGTACCCATGGTCACCTGTTTTCTGTTGGACCATGCAAAGGGTAGCAATTGGCAAAGGGTACTAGCAGCCTTGTGACCAACCCATTACTCGCCGACGCGCTGCCAAACGAGGGCGCTACGACTTCAGTCCAAAGGAGCAGAGCACACCAGCATGTTTCCCCTTGCAAAACTGTAGCATCCAGCAAATGTGATATCCAATACTGACAGTAACGCCCTTCCATGATACGGTCCACACTTTAAACTCTTTGACCTAAACGTGCAATACTAATACTGGGCAAACCCATCTCTAGGGTTGATTTCCCGTCCTGTTCAACACTGGCAGGTTCGCCCATGTTTTGGTTTGTGGAAGGATCCTTAGGAAGATCTGGTGAACGTCAAGCGATTCCAAGCGTCCCTAACTGCCGGCTGGGCTCAGTGCAGCCTCCCCTCTTCTTGCGGCACAAATCCAATCGGACCACTTCGCCAGTGCAAGCCAAACTAAAAGATGCCCAACATTCAACATTGATAAGCCCAAACTAAAGTGCTTGAAGATCTTAAGATGGCAACTTGGAAGGGGAACCCTAGCGACTGTCCCACGCAACAGCTTCGGATCTTGGAAACCTCTCTCTGCTCGCTGGACAGCCAAGCGCGCCTCCACTTAACTGAATGCCGCGCTCACCCACCAGTGTGTCCTGTCAGATTGTCTTGCTCACATGCACCCTCGGCGGCTTAATGGAGTCTTAAGTTCCTCTGACAATGGCTTTTTGGCTCCATGATAATCTGAGAGCCATGACGGGCCCCTCGCAGGAGACCCGGGTGGACCCTTTGCCTAGGCCTTAGGGCTCAACTTCGGCTCCCTTCCGCTGAGAACCACGGCCAACCATCTCCAGTCAAAACGCCCATTTCGATCTCGAACAGCCCAACCCCAGACCCCGTAACTCTACAACATGGCCCAGTTCCATGGGTGTCCAAACATTGTGGTTTCCGCTCGGTTTCCCCTAAAACCAAGCTGAAAGAGCACCCTCAACAGACACGCACCGTGTTACACGGGGCACGGTGCACGCCACAGCATTCGCAGCCCCACGAGCGCCAGACATATTTCTCCGGGAACTCCGAGATGAAGCCATGGCCTCGGATCGAGAGACTCGGAACGGCCAAGGTCGAAAGCCATGCGATCGGATGAGTGATTGGCGAAAAAGAATAGTCTCGGGATTGAATTCAGGGCCCCCGTGTTGCCTTTTCGCCGCACAAATGTAGAACCAGCCCCCGCACTCGTCCTCAGCTCGTGCCTTGCAATAGACATGTAAGGAACCCCCAGGCATGGTTCCAAGTTATCAACCCCACCGCGCTTTTGTCGGGGATATACCTAGGTCCTAGGCTTGTCCAGGGCCGAACCTCCCCTAGGAAAGACGCCCACACTGGTCCATGTCAAAACCACGGGCAGCTAAAGTCGAATATCCGTTCCCGAAAGCAACAAACGACCAGAGTCGCAACACCGCCTTCCCTCGTTACTATCCTCGCGGATGCCTTTCTTTGCTCCCTCGACACGCGGGAACAAAGGCTTGCCCCAAATAGGGAAGTCCCCAAATAAAAAGGTGGTTTCCCTTGGTTTCCCTTTAGTTTTCGCTGAAAACATCCCAGCCGAGCGTGAAAAGAAACACACCCAATATGTCGTTCCCTCGTTCCCTCTGCCAGAGGAGTCTTGAGCTGCGGCTGTTATTTCTGATTCTTGGACAAAAAGAACAAATGGAGAATCCGAGCATGCATGGACCCCCTCAATGGGCGTTGTCTGCCCCCATTCGTAGGCCTCATGAGTACAGCTGCGGGGGCCAGCATGCTCCTTGTCGGGTGAGAACTGCCTCTGCCTGTCAAAGCCTCTGCCTGTCAAAGGAGAGATTGATACTTTTCTTTTGCAGTGTGAAGCAATCCTGTGCAAGCGGAACGGGTGCCCTCCTGATTGCTGAGTTGCTAAATTGAACTCCCTTTTAGACTTACGCTTCGTTGGCACCGATGCGCAAGAGACCATGAATAACCCACAGGAGTTTAACTGTGGCTCAGATGAAGAAAATGCAGAGGTCGCTCAAACCACGACTTATGCAAAAGTGTCGTTCCAAGCTGGGTGAAACAGGAAGGCACCCTGCTGAGAAGCAGTGAAATCAAAAGCAGATTGAAATCTTACCACAAAACAACCCACTCTCTGACTTAATCGTCGCCTCTTTCAAAACCAAGGCACAGTTGGCGAGTTTCGCAGCCTCAATCATCTTGCCCTCATCCATTTCCTTGGAGCAGGGGGAGGCAGCGTATTGGAAAAACAAGCAAGCAAGCGAGCAAGCAATCAAGCAAGCATCAGGCAAGCAAAGAAGGCAAAGGAACCAAGAAAGCAAGCAAGCAAAGAAAGAAACACAGTCCATGCTATTTTCTGACATGCGTCGTAATCGTGTCAAAGTTGAATTTCGTGACAGGCACAGTACTTTGAGCGCTTTCTACTTGGTCCGAACCTCACTTTCCGTGACAGGCGCAACACGTTGGAGCGCTGCGATCAAATTTCGTGGCAGGCGCTGCACTTTGGTGGTCGTGCGTTGAATTCCGTGGCAGGTGAAGCACTTTGGATCACGTCTCACCGGAGGCGCTGATTTGAGTGGCAGGCGCCGTACGTTGGAGGTTCACTTGCTGATTTTGTCGCAGGCGCCGCACTTTGGAGACACAGTGCTGATTTCTCGGCCGGCGCAATACTTTGGAGGTTCCCGACGTTAAATTTCGTGACAGGCACAGCACTTAATACAGATAGACAGACAGACCGATAGATAGACAAATAGAAAGGAGAGATAGGTAGATAGATAGATAGATAGCTAGATAGTTAGATAGATAGATAGACAGACAAACGGATAGATAGAAAGACAGATAGAAAGACGATAGATAGACAGATAGATAGACAGATAGATAGACAGATAGATAGACAGATAGATAGACAGATCAGATTGCTAGCTAGATAGAAAGGAGGGCAGACAAACAAGATAGATAGACAAATAGAAAGGAGAGATAGGATAGATAGATAGATAGATAGATAGATAGATAGATAGATAGATAGATAGATAGATAGATAGATAGATAGATAGATAGATAGATACATAGCTACATAGCTACATAGATATATACATGTGTACATATAAAGAAACCATCATATAGATAGATAAATAGATGGATAGACAGAAGATAGATAGATAGAACGATCGCCGGACAGACAGACAGGCAGGAAGGAAGGCAGACGGACAGATAGATACAGATATAGACACATAGGTATATAGATGAGTAGAAAAACAAACAAACCGATAGAAAATTAGATAGAGAGATAGACAGAACAATATCTAGATAGATTAGATAGATTAGATTAGATCTATTAGATAGATTAGGTAGATTAGATAGATTAAATAGATTAAATAGATTGACTGATTGGTAGATGGATGGATGGATACGTGGATAGATGGATAGATAGATGGACGGATGCATGGATGGATGCATGGATGAATAGATAGATATAGATAGACGATAAGATCAGGTTAGAGCAGGTTATATTAGATCATATAGAACATATAGATAGATCAAATTACATTAGCGTAGGTTAGACTAGATTATACAGA